AAAAAAAAAAAAAAAAACGAAAGGCGTGATAATCGTTTTCGGCGACCTATCAGTTTTCGATTAGCGCCAATTCGATGGGCGCAGCGGGAGGTCCCGTGAAACGCGGCCAACTGGTCGAAAATCCTATTGAAAAGGATTGGAAAACGGTCTCGAGGAGATGAGAATGACGTTAATCGGGTTAGAAAATGCTCGTCGATGATCGATTCGCTTGGCAACGGTTTACGGAACGAATCGAGTCACGAGAGACGAATTTAAATTCCTCCGAACGAATTTAAATTCCCTCCACCTGTCGACGCTGAATCTGTTTTCCTATTTTTATCAGGAAACTGTCCACTTTTCGATATACGAATGGAACGTTGAAAGGCCGTCGACGGTGTCGGTGATATATTTCTCGAGAGGCAATATCGTTCGGAATCGATGGCGCGAGAGTAGAACTATTAGTACACAATCGACGCGCATCTGGATTCAATTCCGCAAACTTATGCAACGCGTCTCGAATCAACTCCGTTTACCATCTCTTCGAAAACGAATAGAAAGAAGAATCATACTCGATACGAGTAGACGCGAAATGTAGGTCGACGTTTATTCAGATATCAAAGAGGACCATAAACATACGGTCAGTGTAACAAGTATTCGTACAGCGACTAATATAAAGTAGAAACTAATAAGAATAGAAATAAGAGGTTAACATTAAAAGTAACAAACTTTGATTTACGCAAAATCTACTCTAAAAATGTGTAAGAATGTTGGTTAATTGTTTCTTTCCTTATAGATTATTAATAGAATAAACGTATGAAGTTTTATTTTGAATTGCTTCCTATACGAATACTTGTTACGCTGACCGTAAATCGCGGACACGGTTTCTTCGATGAAATACTCGGAAAGGAATCGCGAAACCATCCGAACAACAGCCTAATCGAGTAAACGCAGCTAATCGAACGTTGCGCTGCCAATTTGCCATAAGTATACAATTAAACGCAAGGACGGAACGTTGAACGGCGATTATAGACGATTCTCCGCAATTTCTGAGGTTGTTCGGGCCACGAATCGAGGTTATTTCCTCCGAAAATACCACCGCTCGTTAAACGTCGCGCAAGCGAAGCGTATGAATTCTAAACACAATAGATTCCGTGCACGCGAAGGTAGCGCGGATTATCATTTTACCGCGTCACGCTTAAACTCCGACGTGGACGCGAAAAGCGGGACAAGCTCGTGCCGGTTGATTGTCGACGAGTCGTAGGTCAATAACCATTTAACATTAGACGCGGAGCAGTGCATCCAGTCGCGTGCACGGATCTTCGATTTCGAATCGATTCCGTAGGATTCTATTTTACTTACTTATTTATTTCAATATATACACGGGCATAAGCCGTTATAAAATTGACACAATGAAGCAAATAGTAAACAAAGATATTTTTCCAGCAAATCGATCCCAGCCTTTATAAATCACTGGTACTCATTAATTACCATTTTGTATTTTTAAGTTTCTACGCTCGCACTTAAAAAAAAAAAAAAAAAAAAAAGAATCAAAAAAAAAAAATATGTCACGGAAGTTCCCGCCCTATAAAAGGTAAAACTCAACTCTTCGTTCTCCAATTTTTATCCCGTACCGTAAGTATCCAGTATGAAAGCAACCATATCATGGTTACACGGGGAACGTTTAAGCAATTTTTCCGCGTCGAAGTTTCGCGCCATTAGATACTCGTCGCATCGAGAGAATTAATCCTGGACGAAACGGATGATACACCTGTTACGTAAGAACGGGTCAACAGGCGCGACGAGATAAGAATATTCGTGTCCGCGAGACTCGCGTTAATTGCGAATTAATTTCCCGACAACTGTGGACAAGCTAGGAAGTTAAGTAGTTCAATTTCGGATGCGACGGACTCGCGAGAAACCGCGACTGCTGAGTCAGAGATTAAGTACGCGGTTTGCGGCGCGATAACGTCCCTCTCAACGACCACGCGGTTGCGAGTTTAAAATACGTTTCAGAGATGATGTGTGTGCGCGTTTGTGCAATCACGTGCGATGTGTTAATTAATTCCATTCGCTGACCGACCGTAGAATCACGAGACTCGGGAGTAACGCGAAACCGCGGAGCAATGCCATCGACGATCCGCCGCTTCGACGTTCCGATTGCAGCAACAACGCCCTTTCCCGCCCGCCGAATGCTTGAGGGAAATAGATCAGGACTACGTTTTTCTAGGTATTTTGCAGGAATTTGTTTTGGCAAGAATGGAATGTACACGATTTAATGAAACTTTATATATATATATATATATATATAGAAAATATATTTCTTCGTTTAAATTTGGTGGCATGACGTCAGAAAGATTGATACAATAAAGGGTGTAGGGAGAAATAGGAATGAGATCTCGAGAAGGTGACCCACGCGTAGAGAGAAGGTTAGAAGGACAAGGGTGAATGAAAGAAACCGAGCAAGAAAAGTGAGAAGTACACGATTTGTGAAAGGGAAATTGACGGTTGGAAGAAACTTGAATGTCGTTCCTCTTTTCACAGGTATATAAGACCATAAGTGTAAATATTGTAAATTTTGTGAATAGCTAGGTTCTAATAAATTTGAAACTATTTTGACAGAGCAACATTTTGTGAGTTTTTTTCTTAAAAAAAAAAACAAAAGAAAAAAAAATTACCCTCCTCTTATCGTGCGTGCCGAGATGTTTTACTTCGATATAGTTTACTTTATCTTTCTTTCTAAATTCATACAAATCACAAGAAGAAAAAAAAACCCGTAGTCCCGAACTCTTCTCTTACTTCTCCCCTTAATTTTGATATCCGTTTTCACAAAAAATGTCGTTCCTCTTTTGACAGGTATATAGGACCATAAGTGTAAATAATGTAAATCTTGTGAATAGCTAGCTATTATATATGTATAATAGCTTTATAATAAATTTGAAACTATTTTGACAGAGCAACATTTTGTGAGTTTTTTTCTTTAAAAAAAAAAAAAATAAAAAAGAAAAAAAAATCCCCCCTATAAGCTTTGATAGAATCTTATACATATACATTCAAAGTAAATATGTGTGAAAACACAATGCGTGGAGCTGACCGAGCGTAATTGCGTTGTTTGGGTTGCGGTGTCGCTGGAAAACCGAAACCGGCGAGAATCGTGCGTGCCGAGACGTTTTACTTCGATATAGTTTACTTTATCTTTCTTTCTAAATTCATACAAATCACAAGAAAAAAAAAAAAAAACCGTAGTCCCGAACTCTTCTCTTACTTCTCCCCTTAATTTTGATATCCGTTTTCACAAACCTATTCATAAACCTATTCCTCAATTTGAGTCGAAATAGTCGAGCGAAGTTACGTTAAAATTCTCCGTCGAACAAATCCACGCGAACAAAAGCGCGTTAAACTTAAGCTCGCGACGCGGAGACATAAGTCTTCCGAAGTAATTCCGTGGGTCGAGCGATCGCGCGGCTGCTCCGCGAGGAGAATACAAAGACGGTACCCGTCCGCGCAATTTTCATCCCGTGCTTCGTGGCGACTTCGACCGAAGCCGCTAATAACTTTCAACGTCGCCCGTAAACATAATTGAAATACAGCCACGGCCATAAATTTCGCGGACATCGACGAACGATCAGTATTCATGAACCGCGAACGGACGACGGTACCTGAATAAAATCGGAAGCTGGCGATTCTACTCGCCGGAGCGAAATGAAAAGCCGTACGACGAGTCGACATAATCGAATCCGGGCTAAGTAACGATAAGGAACTTTGGCGAAATCTTCGGAGTTCTCGGGTATCTTTAAAGAACCGCTGATTTAAGTTACTCGTTACGACGTACTCGCGATACTTTATCGTCGAGTCCTTCGTCCGTTTATCGCGATCAATGATTTCTTTATGCAACTATCGTGTCATACGAATGCAGTTGAACGCTAGAAATCAGTGATTGTACGGAGTCTTTTTTTTTAGATGGTACATTTTTGTTCGATAGAACGAGCAATCGTTCGTACGAGACACAAGTGGTTCGTCGAAAGTCAAACGACGGAATTGATTCGTAATAGTTGGAGCGAGCGGTGTCGCGTTCCATGGTTAAATGAAAAAGAATAACTTTTTCCTCGTATCGATCGCGATAGAACGAGAATCTCGAGAAGTGTTCGATATATCGACTTTCGCCGTTTGACGCGTGTCGGGGCGATCGGTAAACGATACCATTAGCATGGCAACAGAGGATGTATCCACGCAATGGCAAACGTTTCGAGTAATTCTCGAGCGACGCTCGATCAATTTTCGCGGAAAACCGAGACGCGCGAGACTCTGTTTGCCGAACGCTCGACGATCGACGATCGTCGGTAACGCGCTCGTCGGAGATATCGAAGTGCCGCGCGCGAAATTGTATAGGAAAAATCGCGGAACGACGAGTCCGCCACATGGATGATTTCACGGTAGAATTATTTACGTAACTTCGTTTAATAAACATACGTAACGTATTTTAACGTTCACCGTACGAGTTAGCAGTCAAAGTAATAAACAGATTCGTCGGTCTCCGTACTCCGCAACTTTGACGAGCCCTTAACGTACATTTTATGCACCGGGTCGCGTTTTCGCGTTCGTAAATCGGACTTGTACGATTTAAGAGGCCTCGAGGTGGTACACGATCGCGATAACTTTTATATAATTCATCCCGTTCCCGGGATAAGAACGAGAAACAGGCGAAAATCGAAATGGAAGGTGACGCTGCTTACCGATACCCTTTTGCCGAAGCCAAGGAAGGACAGCTTCCTTTTGGTGTTCTCCATCGTTCAGCGGTCGCGGTAGCTGCTGCGGCAGCTATCAGCCTAAGGTGTCGTCTTTTTCCTAGGTGCTCGACCGATTCTGAGTCTGGACGGCGATGTCCACATGTGGAGAAATCGCTGAGATGGCAGCTCCGTTCTGCTAGCTGTCGACAAACAATTCTACGATCATTTCTAATTCGACTTCTACAATCTAGAATTCGACTAGATTTCTAGAATTCTACACGTGAAATCTACAATTAGAATTCGACTTCGAAATCTTTCGACTCCGTATACGATTCTTTCTCTCCTCTTCCTCGACATTTTTCGCGTGACAAAACGTACGAGGTAGATTTTCGTAGGACGTCCGAGTACGAAGTTGGAAGTTCAACTCGAGGATCGATCCGATATCCGACGAAGCGAGGAGAACACACAGGTGTTCGGCGATACCTTCGGGTTTATAAGTTGAATCGATAATGGCCAATTCTCTTTGCGTCCACGATAAAAAAAAAAAAAAAAAAAAAAAAATTAGCCACGGAAAAATACTTCGATAAGGAAATGGAAGGGATGAGAAAGATACCGAAAGGGAAAATACCGAGGAAATTCTTCGAATTGGTCGCTCGAAGAGAAAAAAAAAGAAAGAAACGTAAATACGAAGCGAGATAAAAAGCGTCCCGGCGATGGTAAAAATTCGGTCGATTCAGAGAAAAGATCGATAGACGAGATAGACGCTGTAAGGGTTGCTGAGGAGGTGGATACAGACCTTTAAACGAAACCGCGGAGTCCCGAGACTTTGGGACGACGATCGTATATCGCGAGCGATCTCGGGAACACTCGTGCACGGCTGCGGATCGCGGGTATCTCTCGCACGGACGAGCCAATATTCGAGGAAGAGAGTTGACACGGCGACAGTGACCGACCGACTGACTTCGTTCGAGGCTCTACCAGCAACGCGACGTCCATCCAGAGGGATTGCGATTTCAATACGAGTTGATGAATAACGTCCCGGCCGTAAAGTCCACGTTATAAATAGCGAAACAAACCGATACGCTTTATCGATGATTTAAACTCAACGTTTACTCGACGACTCAACGTTTCACGGCGTCGCTGCGCCGGACGTTCGCGAAACGAGGATCGGCAACCCGGAACGAGGACGACTGATTGAAAATGGAAATTTCGGAAATTTGCTCGGATTTCATGTAAAAGGTACGACACGTTACTCTCCGATCTCCCTGATACAGTCAGTTCTATAAATATTCGTACCATGTGGTTATCGAAGAAATTAGTGATAGGTTTGATGTTTCGAAATCAATTTGTCGTTATAAATATATATATATATAATGCAAATATATAAAATATAAAAAATATAAATACATGTAGAGTATATTCATGTACATATTTATAACGAAACATTTATTTGGGAATATCAACCCTGTTAATTTAAATAAATTTCTTCGATAGATATGGAATGTATGAATACTAATTTGTCATTATAAATATATATATATAAATAA